TCCAGGCCGACCGGAGTGGAGGCTGGTTGGTCCGTCTACGGAGCCCGAAGACAAATGGCTACCGGCGCCTGAGGCCTGTCGACCGCTGGTCTGGTGCGCAGGAGGAGCCTCGTGGCAGATGAGTCGTCGAGGCGACGCCGTGGTAGCGGTAGAAAAAGTCTGTCCAACTGCCGCCATCTGCCCCGCAGACCCCAGCAATGGAGTTAATGGGGAGCAGGGCGACTGGCTTCCAGCGGCTGCCGCTGCTGTTGCCACTGCAGCTGCCGCAGCTGCGGCGGTGATGCCGCGATGCAGGGCCGGGTAGAGCTGAGAGTAGACCGCACTGCTGGGTTGTCCCGGCAACGAGTAGCCCGGGGAGCCGTAGGCTGCCGCCGAGGTGGACATAAGGAAGGAGGGTGATGTGGTGACGCCAGTTGCCATGGAAGATGAGGAGGAGGAGCAGGAGGAAGAGGAAGGGGAAGAGCAGGAGAAGGAGGAGGAGGAGGAGGCGGAGGCGGGATGAGATTCGAACTGACCCTTCATCAGATCGCGTTCAGACGGATAACTTATGTTCTGACGCCAAGACGAGGATCCAGAGGAACAATTGCTTCTGCTGCTCATCGGCTTGCCGGAAGTGTTGGTCACGATGGAAGAGGTCATCAAAGAGGCGGTGCTGGTGTTGGGACCGGCAGTGCTATTGGCGCTGGCCACAGGAGTGGTGGTATCGCAGATTTGACTAGAAGAAAGTGGCGTCCTCACGGAGTTGGCGAGTAGAGAGGAGCGCCCGAACGGGTCGTAGAAGGGCATGAAGCAGCTGAATGGGTTCGGTGGCATCACCGAAGGTCGAGAAGAGGTCTGTTGAGGTTACAAAACATGATAAACACAGATTAACCTGATGAATTAGACAGTCAAAAAAGGAAAAAAGCTGATTGAGTACATTATTCTAAGTCTTCCTGACACCACGAACAACTTTAGAAACTCAGATGTCGAACCAAGTACGCACAGCAAAAAAAGACTGCAACCAAACCCTATTGACTTTCACATCTTGATATTTATGATTCAACCAAAATGAGTCGTGAGGAAATGGTTTTATCTCGTTTTAGCAACCTGGTCATGTATTCAAGCCAGTCTAGATGGATCCACCTCATCCTGACAGTCATGATAATTTTTTTGTGAGTAGGTTTTCGAGACTACCAGCAAATCAGATATATGAACTTTGTTCATCCTATTTTGTTTAAGGTGATGAAGGACTGGTATTTGAATTTTCCAAAACCACTGCGCCACATTGCCACGAGTGCCCTTGGGGCATAGGACAGATGCGAATTTCAAGGAATGTCAGGAATTTTCCATATCACATTTTGTGTTGGGAAAATTCAACTACCA